AAAGGTAAGAGCATGAAGCCGAAGACTGCTGCAGGCATGTATCAAGACATCTTTTGTAGCGGGGGTTATCTGCATCCAACTATTTCTGGGATTAATGCCATTGTGGAAGATGAAGCAGAGCCAAAAATGCCAAATTATGTGATGCACAGAGTTAGGGTTCAGAACTGAATCACCATTGATGTTCCCTCTTGCATACATGTTTCAAAGTAATTTGTTTTATTAATCTTTTTGAAAAGCTTTCACTCTGCCCAAGGTGAAAGTATTGATATTGTATGGGCTTATCTGTTTACCGTGATTTTTAAAATCAATAATAAAAGTTGTCTTTGTTTCCCAAATTTTTTTTTTCTTGGAAAATGGTAATCAGAAAAAACCGTTCAAAATAAATAATAACTTAAATTCAATCAGCATGATCACTTGTTAAATGTGTCAGTTTCTAAAAGCAATCATAAATCATATGTGCAGATTAATTAAAAAACTCGTTTAATACAATGACCCTGCACCCTCTCCCAACTTTGAATGTCCTGTGTATGGGGCCGAAGAAGAAGACTATGATGAGATTCCAGAAGAGGTCTCACGGTTGCTTGAGCGTGAGGAGAATGCCATTCAGCCATATAAAGATCCATTGGAAGTAATCAATTTGGGTTCAGAAGAAGATCCGAAAGAAGTCAAGATTGGAGCATTGTTGTATCCTGATGTATAGAGCAGGTTGATGGAGATGCTGAAAGAGTATGTGGATATTTTTGCTTGGTCTTACCAAGATATTCTTGGTCTAGATACAACTATTGTAGAGCACCGTTTTTAGTTGAAGCCAGAGTGTCCGCCAATCAAACAGAAGTTGCAAAGAACTCACTCAGATATGACAGCGAAGATCAAAGAAGAAGTTCTAAAGCAGATTAATGCCGATTTTCTTGTGACATCAGTGTACCCTCAGTGGATTGCCAATATTGTCCCAGTACCAAAGAAAGACAGAAAAGTTTGCATGTGCGTAGATTACAGAGATCTAAATAAAGCTAGTCCAAAAGATGATTTTCCATTTCCATACATTGATATATTAGTGGATAGCACAATAAAATTCAAAGTTTTCTCGTTCATGGACGGATTTTCCGGGTATAATCAAATAAGGATGGCTCCCGAGGACATGGAAAAAACAATGTTTATCAAACCCTAGGGAACATTCTGTTACAGAGTGATACCCTTCGGGTTGAAGAACACTGGTGCAACATACCAGAGGGCTATGACAACCCTATTCCATGATCTGATGCACAAGGAAATTGAGGTATATGTTGATGACATGATTGCTAAATCCCATACTAAAGAAGGGCATGTAGAAGATTTGTTTAAATTGTTTCAGCGTTTGAGGAAGTATCGTCTCCGCTTGAATCCAAATAAATGTACCTTCGGTGTTCGGTCAGGGAAATTGTTGGGTTTTATTATTAGACAGGGGGGATTGAAGTTGACCCTGATAAAGTTAAAGCAATTCAAGAAATTCCAGCACCGAGAACTGAAAAGCAAGTCAGAGGGTTCCTCGGGCGTTTGAATTATATTTCCAGATTCATTTCCCACATGACTGCAACATGTGAGTCGATCTTTAAGTTATTAAATAAAGATCAAGGTTGTGTATGGACAGATGACTGCCAAAGGGTATTTGAAAGTATTAAAGAATATCTGCTTGAACCCCCTATCTTGCTCCCTCCTGTTGAAGGAAGACCATTGATTATGTATCTGACAGTGTTAGATAATTCCATGGGCTGTATTCTGGGACAACAAGATAAAATGGGGAAGAAAGAGTATGCCATTTATTATCTCAGTAAAAAATTTATTGATTGTGAATCGCGGTATTCCATGATGGAAAAGACATGTTGTGCTCTGGCCTGGGCGGCAAAACGTTTGCAGCAATATATGTTGAATCACACTACTTGGTTGATCTCCAAAGTGGATCCAATCAAGTACATTTTTGAAAAGTCTGCTCTTACTGGGAGAATTGTCTGCTGGCAGATGCTGTTATCTGAATATGACATCGAATACCGCACTCAGAAAGCTATTAAAAGCAGTGTGTTGGCAGATTATATTGCTCACCAGCCAATTGATGATTATCAGTCTGTGAAGTATGATTTCCCCGATAAGGATGTGATGTTTTTGAAAGTGAAAGATTATGATGAACCATTGCCTGAGGAAGGTCCTGATCCTGAATCTCACTAGAGTATGATATTTGATGGAGTTGTAAATGCTTATGGTAAAGGAATTGGTGTTGTGATTGTCACTCCACATGGATCACACATTCCTTTCACTACAAGGTTGACATTTGATTGTACTAATAATATGGCAGAATATGAGGCTTGCATCATGGGTCTCGAGGAAGCTATTGATCTCGGAATTAAAATTCTAGATGTGTATGGGGATTCAGCTTTTGGTAATGAATTAGATTAAAGGAGAACGGGATACTCGTCACCTCGGCTTGATCCCTTACACAGATTATGCTAGAAGATTGTTACCCTTCTTTAATAAAGTTGAATTCCATCACATCCCTAGAGAAGAAAATCAAATGGCAGATGCTCTGAAAACTATGACTTCTATGTATCAAGTGAATACTTGGAATGCTATACCTTAAATTATAGTCTGGCGACTGGATAGGCCCGCTCATGTGTTTACAACAGAAGGGGTAGCAGATGAGAAACCTTAGTATTATGATATCAAGCATTTTCTCTAGACTCAGGAATACCCGATTGGTGCTTCGAATAAAGATAGAAAGACATTGAGAAAATTGGTTGGCAGTTTCTTCCTTGGTGAAAATGTGTTGTACAAGAGAAATTATGAAATGGTCTTGCTCAGATGCGTGGATAGACACGAAGCAAACATGTTGATGCATGATATTCATGAAGTTTCATTTGGAACTCATGCCTATGGACATTCGATGGCAAAAAAGATGCTAAGGGCAGGTTACTATTGGCGGACAATGGAATCTGACTGTTACAAATTTGCAAAGAAGTGCCATAAATGTCAGATTTATGCGGACAAGATTCATGTGCCTCCGACACTTCTCAATGTTATTTCTTCCCCGTGGCCTTTCTCTATGTGGGGTATTGATATGATCGGGATGATAGAACCCACACTACAACATTTGTTGTCTCTGGCAACACTTTTTTAGGTAACATGTAGAAATTGTTGCCTTAAATTCATATAGGCAACGATTTACGATTGTTGTCAAAAATATGTTTGCAACCCTTGATAATCGTTGCCTAAAATACTTTTGGGGACGTTTATGGAGCGATACTCTTTTATTTTTTTGCCAACGGTTGTTAATTGTTCCCTTAACTACTTTTGGGGACGATTTTAGAGCGTTAAAATATTATTTTTTTAGTAATGTTTGACAATTGTCCCCTAAAATATTTTTGGGGACATTTTTAGATTGTTACATTAGTTCTAATAAAAGGCTACATTTCTGAAATATTGTATAAATTTTTTTAGAATTATCAAATTTTTGGTGGCAATCTTTTCTCCAAAACGTATACACTAAAAAACAAATATTTTTCTCTAAACATTATTAATATATATAAAAAAAAATATTTTTCTAACACAGGAATTTAAAAATAAAAAATTTCAATTAAACAGAAAATAAAAAATTATATATATATATATATATATATATATATATATATATATATATATATATATATATATATATATATATATATATATATATATATATATATATATATATATATATATATATATATATATATATATATTTAAAAAAATTCATTAAACAGAAAATAAAAAATTTTCTAACACAGGAATTTAAAATATTTTTCAATCCATTCCCGTTCCATTCTTCTCTCGCTGTAAGTCATCTCTATCTCATTCCATTCCTCAACTTCAATAACTGCATCACTTTTCTCACAACATTCTCACTCTCGCTGAATCCAGCTCTCATGATTCCGAAGCAAGTTCGAGAAATCAAGCTTCGCGTAATAGCGACTCCACTCGTTTATCGCTTACTCACTTCCTCGATCGCAAACTGCACAACTCTTCAACAGTCCCTCAAACCGTTCCGGTAAAATTCTGGATCCAAAATTACTCTTAGGGTTTCGGGCTGATTTAATATATATGGGATATGTTGAAGTGTGTTGATTTGTTTCATTTATTTGTTGTTCGTTTCGAAAGCACGTGTTTCTTTTCTTGGATGAAATTTTCTAATTTGTTTTTGAATAGGGGAAATTGACGCCTTTTCAATCGCCGGCCAGTGAGCAAGATGGAAGCGTCAAACTAACTGAAGAAGAGAGAAAGTCTGCAACTGCTGATGAGAAGTTGATTTTGGGAATGTTCAAGCAAGAGGGCAAATGTGACTTTGTTCCTCCGTTAGATCTTGATGAGTTAGGAAATTCTGTGGCAGGTGATGGTCAAGGAGCTAGGAAAAGGAAAAATCCATTTGAAGGTTTGGATTCCTATCCCAATGAACTTGAGCACGCGTTTTGGCTCTGTTATTTATTATTCTGGCTCTGTTATTTATTATTCTTATGGGAAAGTTGAAACTGTTATTTAGGGAAATAATACAATTAAAGTGTCCTTGTCTTTTACTTTATCGACTAGTTAGTGATTGCAAGTGAGGTTCTTTGTTTAATTTATTGATGTCATAGAGAGATATTTGTTTCAGTCTATTTTACTTGGAATGGTCATGAAAAAAGATTTTATACTGACAACCATTTTAACTCCATTTTGGAAGATCAAGTAGGCACCATGTCTCTGATTTCATACTATGTATGCCGTTCATTGTCATATGCTTCTTTAGGAAACTTCAATGTATGCCATTATTTCAGATTTTTTGAGTTTGGTAGCAAGCACGTATGAGTCTTGCACTGCTCTTAGGGTTTCATTGTTTGATTTTAAAGTTGGTTGGAAATCCTCTTTTCGGCCGAATATATTGATCAACTATAGATTATTCATAGGAAGGCAAAAGAGTTGTATGTATTGGGTACAGGGACAGGACAACTGCATAAGACTTGTTAGAAAGATCCTTGAATATTGACACTAGCAGGTGTGTTCAGCCTGTTGTTACTCATGCCGCTTGATTGAAAGGGTCTGAATGGATTATTGTGAAACTGCGTAGAGCCGCCATTCATTGTTGGCAAATGTCCTCCAACTCCATTGAGAGAATTCATTCTGAAAAAGGATGTATCTGCAGAACTTCCTAAGGCTGCTGACATATTAGCTTGTTGGTTTTCCCCACAACTGACTTTTTTCAGATAGAGTCTATATTTCTGAAGATGGCTGGCCACATTCTCCCTTGTAAGCTTTTCAACATTCATCAAATCAAGAATCTTTTTCGGCACAGCCTTGTCAATGCCTAATTGATTAACAGCCGAAACAAACATGCGGTGCATGTCAGCATTCCAAACAACTCGAGGCTTCTTCTACGCCGATGGATCCTCATCGTCGTCATCATCATCTTCATTCTCTTCCTCATCGTCGTTTTCATTCTTATCCTTTCTTTTTCTATATGGCTTCACATTTTGATCCGAACTTCCTATCACAGCCGAATCTATTCCATTTACGCTATCCGAATTGCTTCTTTTACCTTTCTTCTTCCGAATCACATGCTGCCAAATAATTTGCACCTCTTTCAATCTAACACGTTTCAGCAGATAATCACAAGCACCATGAGTAATTCCTTTCATCACCATCTTCAGATCATCATTCACAGAAAACATAATGACAGGTAAATCCATCTCAAGTCCAATAAGCTCAAGAAGCTTAAATCCATCCATGTCTGGCATATGAACATTACTGATTACTAAGTCGAAATTCTTTTTGTTTTCTCTCAACAAATTCAGCGCGTCTATCGCATTTTTAGCCGTAGTTACGTGATATTGACACTTTAGGAGAAGTTTCTCCAAAATCATGAGACAAGTTCTGTCATCATCAACAGCAAGAACTCTCATTCCAATAGGAAATTTATCATTCATCTTATGTTCATCCACCACCAAAGTCATTTTCTGCTAATCTAAAAATCCAAAATCAGAATCTATCAAACAGAACCAAAAAAAGTGATTTTTAAGGAAGATTTTTCGTTGAGAAAAGTTAGAGAATCTTGAAAGACTGATTGAGACCACTGTTAGAGAGGCATGGAGAAGATATAAGCACAAAATTAAGAAGAATCATTTTTTGAAGTATTCCAACATGACCGAGAGACTCAAAAATCGTCCGCCAAACGTGCCAATATTTTGAGTCAACATAATATAGGAAATTCCAATTAAGGATGTTATAGGAGAATGCTGAATTGATGTGTATATAGATATACGGTGTAAGCATTTATCACACAATGCTTCCAAGTTTGTGAAATTTATTCTTATTTCGTTTCAAAATGTGATTATGACTTCCATATATGTAATGAAAGGGGGTTTATGCATGCATAGATGTATGTTTATTTTGATGACATCATTATTGCAAAATATTGAGGCTTTCTCATAAATTGATTTGTTACAGTGGATTTCACTTTGTATCCTTCTTATTAATATGTTTTCCCCTTAAATTTCTTACGACAGAAACGTTTTCAAAATGATATGTCAATAAACAATAATGTGATAGATGTTTTACAAGATCAAAAGTGGGCGCCTATGCCCTGGAAAAAGTTGCAGGTCAGAGATATTATCAAGGTGAGTTTGCAGTGTTCTATATGTTTCTGTGCTAGATTTAATTTTGTCTTGTATATGCTCATAACTAGAACTTACAACCTCAAAATAAGGGCATTATTAATGATCATTAATCCTATGCTTTTGAACTTTCATTAGATGTTGGTTATCAGGTCCTCGGTGGCTGCAATCCTCCTAACATATGTTACGCTTTGTTGTGGCAGCACGTTTTCCTTCTGTAATTGTTAAAAATGTATTACAGATATTCTGAATGACATTGCAGGTGATGATGAATTCAATGAATGTTCCTTCCAAAAGAAGTACACTGGAGAGGAAACTTGACAAGCTCATACTCGCTCTCTTTGCAACACTCTTTATGATGTGTTTCATTGGAGCCATAGGCAGGTATGTCAGCTAAATAACCAGTTTGCTGGACCACTTCTAAACTGTTGCTAATGTTTTGGCAGTGCTAGGAAGGGTTGGAATTTGTTTTGTATGAGCTCTGAATTAGATTTATTGTTTTAATTACTGTTCCCAATACCAGTGTTTTGATGGATAATACATGACATGCCCACAACTTGAAATTTTATTTTTAGTTGAGTTGAGATTTAAAAATAAGTAATGATTATGAGTCCTACTATAAGTATTAAATTCATAAAAATTGTAATCAGTGTCAATTTTTTTATAAAAATCTTAACATAATAATAGCAAGCCTGTTATTATAATTGAAATTTTGTAATTACAGAATGGGAAGTTGAGGAATATGCGCTTTTTATATTTTAGTTCAGTTATATGATATGGTTTATTAGAAAAACAAGTGAAATTTTGAGAAAGCGAGGTAATCCCTTACATTGTAGTAGTATGTATTTGTGAATGATATTATTGGAATTTGTGAATTGCAGCGCTATTTTTGTGAACAAAAAATACTTCTATTTACATCTTGATTCATCAGAGGAGGGCTCAGCACAGTTCAATCCAAAAAACAGATTTCTGGTAACGTGTACTTCTTCTGTCAAGATAAATAGCTACCACTGCTCATTCTTTTTCTCTTAACTTATTTTCTAATTCCGAGTCTTCTGTTGTCAGGTTTTTATCCTGACTATGTTTACCCTTATCACACTGTATTCAACAATCATCCCAATTTCACTTTATGTGTCTATAGAGGTTTGTGTCTCAGTCATTTGAATTTATACACTCCAAAATTTCCATGTCTTTGTAAAGAGAAAATGTAATTTATTTGTGTTATTGTATCAGATGATAAAATTTATTCAATCAACTCAATTTATCAACAAGGATTTGGGAATGTACCACAATGAAACTAATACACCGGCACTGGCCAGAACTTCAAATCTGAATGAAGAACTTGGACAGGTAAGTAGCCACCATGTGTTTTGCTTGTAGGTGTAAAATAAATATTCTTGATTTAAAAGGAAGAGAGTGGAAGAAAAGGTATAAAATAAGATATACACAAAATGGTGGAGGTTTGAAGGCAAACACAAAAGAAATAAAAGAAGACAGTAATATAAAAAAAGGTTTCTGAAATAATAATGACCTTTTAAGAAACTCGGAATAAAAGTGGTTTAGTATTGCAAACGGTTACATCTTCACCAGGTTCTCACTGTGTCTGAAGCTATCCTTTCAAAACCCCTTCTCGATGTCTCTCATGATTTAGTTATTTTCATAATGAAAGAAGTATTGTTTTCCCTTATTTCTTTTGCACTCCCGAAATGCATGTTGTTAGTTTCTGTTATAACATGTAGTTAGTTTCTGTTTTAACAGCTCCTTGAATTCAGGAACCGTTCCCTTGATTTTAGGGAGTTAGTTTAGTCTAACTACAACTCGATAAATAGAGTTGAATCTATTGTACTCGGTAAGAATGAAAAAAATAATAATACATTCTGATTTTTCAATATCGTATCAAAGCCTTATCTAACATAATCAAGCCTTATCTTTAATCTACGTGGGATTCAGGTTTTCCAATATGAAATATAAATTGTTTTGAAGTTTCTGTATTTTTTTCTTGTCATATTTCAATGTGAAACAAACTGATTTATTAGGTGGAATACATTTTCTCTGACAAAACTGGGACCCTAACAAATGGAGTTCTTCAAGTGTTCGATAGGAGTAGAGGTCTATGGAAATGGTGTGACTGAAATTGAGAGAGGACTAGCAGAGCGCAATGGCATGAAAATTGAGGTAGTACTCTTGTTGTGTATTGTAAGAAAGTAGATGACCTGTTTTGAAATAGTACAATTATGTCTTATTATTTCTCTATAGGAAAATAAACCGCCCCATACTGTGCATGAGAAGGGTTTCAATTTTGAAGATGCCAGGCTTATGAGAGGAGCTTGGAGGAATGAACCCAATCCTGATGCCTGCAGAGTAAATGATTTTGCTTTACTTTGAATTAATGGTAGAAGTTTATTTTATCTTTAAACCTAGTCTTGAGTTTTTGGTTTGTAAGTTTGATCCTTCCTGAGTAAGGTTCTTATATACATCCATCTATGTTTTAAAATGGAAAATCAGTTGCCTTAATCCGTGCTTGCTTGTTGCATGTTATACATAAGCTATTGGTTCGCATTTATCCAAGAAATTATATGAGATTTCTCTCAATTGTAAACATTTGTCACGAGTTCCATATAAAGTTTGTATGTCTGAGCTGGATACTTAAAAATCTAATTTCTAATAAATGTATATGGTTTTATTTCATTCTATGTGTATTGCACTATCACCCTCATCTGTCATGGGTTGCATATAAAGTTTATATGTTCAGAGGTGGATACATAAAAGTCTGCAATTTCTAATAAATGTATACATTTATTTTATCCTATTTATGTATTGTACTGTCAATCTGTCATGTTCTGTAATTTTAATCCCTGCAATTTCTAATAAATGTATACATTTATTTTATCCTATTTGTGTATTGTACTGTCAATCTGTCGTGTTCTGTAAGAAGATACAACAAGTAAGAGTTTTCATCAGAGTTCATTTACTCCAAAAAATAAACATAAAAGGATAGCACAAGTTATACATACATACATACAGTTAAAGGCTATTGTATGTCCTGAATAGTGAGCCAAAAACAGAATGGTTTTCATAATTGATTTATTTGCTAGTAAGCTCATGTCACCTATTACAGTTTAGAACAAAAATTCACATCCATTAAAAACCTTCATAATTAATTCACATCCATGAGATGTGAAGAATATAAACAATGTGTTTTGCTCATTGGTTTAGTTTTTATTTGTGCGAGGTTTAATTCTTGTTGATGTCTTAATTGTTCTTTGGACCAAAAATACTTATGGTTAATGTGTTTTATTTTATTTCCTTATGCAGCAATGTATCAATGAAGATGTTGAAAAGGACGATATAAATGATGAAATTCAAGAGGACGACATAAATGATAAAATTCAAGAGGACGACCTAAATGATAAAATTCAAGAGGACGACGTAGATGACGAATTTCAAGAGGACGACATAGATCTAGATGATGAATTTCAAGAGGAGGATATAGATGGTGAATTTCAAGAGGACGACGTAGATGAAGAATTTATGGAGGATGACATATCTAACGAATTTCAAGAGGACGATCTGGATGCTTTACTCCTAGAAGACAAACTTGAATGAGTTGGATGATGTCTTTTTTTTGGCTTGTAGTTGAAAGCATTAAACTTGAAATATGATTTTTGTTCTTTTGCTGAACTATGTTTTTAGTTATTTTACTAGGGTCATACTTCAAAGTATTAAAAGTAATATTGTTACGTTAGGCATTTTGTGTACTCTATATACTATATCTTGAATTAAAGTTTGAACTCGATTTTATTATATTACAACTTTTATGGATGTATGTTTTAAGTTATATAATCAATATTATTTTTGAAGCCAATTATTATTGACTATATTATTTTGATAATAATTGCAAAATTGTATATTTTATGTGGACACTACAAAACAACAACCTATAAGCTATGGCTACACTTCAAAAACGATCTTCCTGATTCAAGTTTAAGGCAACGATTGTTAATTGTAGCCGAATTTGGCAACGCAGCGCTTAAAAAACGTTGTCTCAAATGCCGTAAATAATCGTCCCCTATTCCTTTACTATAGGCGACGTTTTTCAAAAGCGTTCCCAAAAAAAATAAAAAAAACGTTGCCTCAAACAATAGGCAACGCTCGCACAGGAGACGCCTAGAAAACGTCCCCTATTGTTTTAGGCAACGATTTTCAGAGTTCTGGCAACGTTTTTCTATTGTTGCTGGAGAGCCTAAATGTTGTAGTGCCAAAGCTTCGAATGGAAACCATTATATCTTGGTAGCAATTGATTACTTCACCAAATGGGTGGAAGCTGCTTCATGTGCTAATGTTACTAAGTAGGTGGTAGTGAGCTTCATTAATAATAATATTATATGTCAGTATGGTGTGCCGAGCAAAATTATCACCGACAATGGCTTGAATCTGAACAACAAGATGATGACATAAATTTGTGAAGAATTCAAGATTGTCCATCACAATTCGTCTCCGTACAGGCTGAAGATGAATGGGGCTATTGAAGCTACTAATAAGAACATCAAGAAGATCATCTAGAAGATGGTTGTTACTTATAAAGATTGGCATGAAATGCTCCATATTTCTTTACATGGATATCAGAAATTTGTCCGCACTTGAACAGGAGCAACCCCATTCTCCCTGGTGTGTGGAGTGGAAGTTGTGCTCCCAATCGAGGTTGAGATTCCTTCTTTGCGTGTGATAATGGAGACCAAGTTCACAGAGGCTGAATGGGTCCAGAATAGGTTTGACTAATTGAATTTGATCGAAGATAAGAGAATGACGGCTTTGTGTCATGGGCAGTTATATCAGAAGAGAATGAAGAAAGGTTTTGATAAGAAGGTCAAACCTCGTGAATTCAGAGAAGGCGACCTCGTGCTCAGGAAGATCATGTCTTTTAACGTTGATTCTAGGGGAAAGTGGACTCCCAATTTTCAAGGCCCATATGTTGTCAAGAAAGCCTTCTCTGGCGGTGCATTAAGAAATAAAAGAAATACTTCGCCTAAAGAAATAAAATAATAACTCGCTAAGTTGAAAACCCGAAAGGGTGGCTTAGGCAACAATGAGTGTCTCGGTAGGCCGAAAACCCGAAAGGGCGGTCTAGGCAAAAATTAGAGACATAAACAGAATAAAATTTCCCGCTAAGTTGAAAACCCACAAGGGCAGCTTAGGCAAAAGTTAGGGACTTTCTTGGCAAGTAACTGCATCAGACAAGACTTGATCTTTGAAGCAACAATCTTCTTGGGTCCTCATCATACTTTAATAGGAGTTGCTGCTCAGGGTTTCAAAAATGTTAGAGGGAATAGTGGTCATTGTATCTCAATGTATCTTTTCCATTATATATTACCATTTTACAAACTTTGTAAATATCCGTGGAGTCTCGCCATTCGCGGACTACCATTCTATCAATAAAATTTGAGCTTTTATCCAATTCTTTGTAGTTCTTATTTTTATTCAGCTTACAAAGACTCCATTTATTATTGATAATAATTTTCAAAGCAAAAGGATTAAATAACAAAAAAAAAATTTAAAAAGAATTTACAACTTACTTTTGATTTAAGATTTTGTGATTCAAGAGGAAAACAAAAGTGCTGATCTCAGGAATGGACGAACTCCAGTAATTTTGAGAAGCTTTATTTTTCCCAGGAAGGTTTTCTCAGGTTTTTTTCACTGGTATGCGTATGATTTTTTGTATATTGAAGACGATACCAATTGGCGTAAGGTGCATTATCGGGTTTGTGATCCCAGTGTCCCCAGTCAAGTGTTGGTTCATTTTCTAATTTTTGGGTTTGCTTGGTCTGAGGTCTCTATTCCAGATTCCCCAATGAAGTCTTCTCTAATATGACGAAAGGTCTTGTCCCCTTGGTGTGCTGAGATGGAATTATTTGCAGAATGTTTCTCCTTTTGGCAGTGCTGGCATTATGTTTGGTATTTATTTCCCAGCTAACTGGACCAGGGCGGTATATTTTCTAAGAATTGTTGAGACAGTTGTCAACTTTTTGGGTTTTCACTATCAAAGTGTTGCGTTTGATTTAAAATCCACAAGAGTTTGACCTCTTTCTATATGTTGACTTCTTGATTCCCTAGGAAAGCTATCCCAGGGCATCTTTTGTTGGAATAGGTTTGATCTGAGATTTCCCAGTGAAGGACTCTGTTATTTGATATAATTATTTTATCCCCGTGCATGCTGAGTTTAACTCATTTATGAAGCATCTCCCTTTCAGTAGTTCTTGCATTTTGTTTGCCGGATAATCAGACAAGGGCAGTGTTTTATTTAAGAAGTGTTGAGGCATTTGTCAAGGTTTTGGGTTTTCCCCTGCCATGTGATGGGTTTGATTTAAAATCCCCACAATTTTGATTTCTTTCTATTATGTTTGAATTCTTAACTCTCCAAGTTGTTATCCCCATGAGGTTTCATACTTTCTCCTCGGAGAAGTTGGTGTAATGCTTACTCTTAATGTTGAAGAATGTATCCCTGTTTTCCCCAATGAAGAATGTATCTGGGTTTCCCCTCTTCGATGTGGTGTTGGTATCACCCCAAGGAAGTCAACACGAGGTCCTCAGTTGATATTTAGATGATGAGGCATTATCTCCCCTAGTGAAGTCTGTATGGTATTTCTCCATTAAAGTCAGCTCGAAATCCTCAGTTGATGTTTTGCCGATATGATTTGCATTTACCTTATTTGAAATCAGTATTTTAATCCCCAGTAGAAGTGCGGACCGTGAAAACATTTGTTTTCCCCATTGAAGTCTGAGTGCTATTCCCTGGTGAAACCCAGAGAAGGATGTTATATCCCTGTATCTGTACTATTTTGTTGTTATGATTTATTACTTCTGGATTATGTTCCTTCCTAGTGAAGTTAAGCCGCGAAATAGGATTTTGTTTCCTCAGTTGGTGCTTATTTTTCTTATGGGATGTTCATCCTGGATGAGATTTAGCCGAGTTTTATTGGTGCTCGAGTTGGCTTTGCTTGGTTATCCCTAGTAATATATGTTTGTTTTGTCAGCATATACATGATAACACGCATACATTCATACATACATCATGCATAGTGAAATTTAGAAAATTATTGCTCATTAACATTCGTTAATTATTTTGTTGACATATTGCCCTGTTTTGCAGAGTTGTATTGTCCTCTCTCCAACAGAGTGTCGGCCTTAAGCAGAAATTGTATATTCTTTCAATTTCCCCACTGAGTTATCCCTCGTGGAAGATTTTTTCTTTAGCCTTCTTGCACAACTCTTTGTCTGGATAGATCGGGTTTCCCTTTCTTGAGTTTATTTCTCAAAGGATGCTTTTTGGTTGAATGTTTTACTCCAGTTTATTTCTAGTTTGAATCTTTGGTTCCCAACAATATTATTACTTTGGATTTCTGGAAGCTTCGAGCTTTGGTTTGAAAATATGCATTTATTTTGCACGAGAAGACTTTATCTCCTCAGCAGGAATATGTTGGCAATTCCCAAGGAAGTCACGATTCATTCCCCGGGAAGTCATATCTCTTTCCCCAGGAAGCCATATTGTTTTCCCCAGGGAGTCATTTTTCAATCCTTCCTATAGTAGCAAGTAACAGGTCTCTTTATTTGAGAAACTTGTACTTTCTCGTAAAAGTCGATGTACCTTTTTGCTTTCTTCTCTATGAGTGGATAGTTTGCAGTTTGCTATCAAATTACTCCAGTGGATGGAAAGTCTTTCAATATCGCAGAGATAGTTTGTTGAATTTTTTTTGCAAGTGGTAGTCTCTTTATCTGAGACAACTTA